CTTTCCCTCACTCTGATCTTAGGTATGCATTCTTGCTCATAGGAAAATTCATAGCATTCACAGATGGTGTAAATGTTTACTCAATATTAACAGACTGGCTGCAGGCTTTCATCACAGATTCTTTTCATAAACATAACAAGAGCCTTGGTTACTGCAGTAACATCACGTTGCTGTGGGTAGGTCTGAAAACCACACGGTACATACAGCAGCCTAGTGCAAAGCTAACAATGTAACTCAGTCTCAGCTCACTTCTTAACCTTTTTTGTGTTTAGCTGTGAAATGGCTAAGGGGTTTCAGTTTTCAGTCATACTGAAGGTGATTGGCCTTGGCCTCTCTGTGTCAGAGAAACTGAGCCTAAGCAAGAAAACGTGAAATAGCTCCATTATGATTTACAGTGGAAACCACTTGCACCCATGGGAGAGTAAATTGAGAAAATCAAGACTGAGACATGTAACATGCTCTGTGGCTATCTGGCCGCAGAATGTCAGTCTCCACTAAATGCAAGGCTCACATTTCCCCTTCAGTCTCTCATGTGCGTTTGCATCTACATCACATCTGTCCTATCACAGTCTAATGTTTCTCCCCACCCATGCAACCTACAGTACTTCCTCTCTTCCTCTGTGAGTAGGTGTCAAGCCAAACCCCCTCTCCCTGCATGTATCTTCCTCGTTTTGTACTTCGTCTCATGCCTTCTCCATCTGTGGCTGTCAACGGCAATTCATCTCAACAAAAGTAAACAAAAAAAAAAGAGGAAATTCTGGCTGATAATTATCTTATCATTTGACAACACCATGTAGGCAAATTATGACTTGGCTGCATGACCGCAACTCAGAAGAGCCTCTTCAGAATCTGTGGCCCTCATGAACTGAACTCTGCCAAACTTAAAACAGCTCTGGAATGTGTCTGAAGCTCTTCACCCAGTGGACAGCGTTCTTCTACAGAGAAGACACACCTCTTACCAAAAACAACAGGTGAGATTTTTGTCTGGGAATTATACTGCTCTTACTTTTTTATTTTTAAGTAAGCAATAGGGTTAATAATATGAAGTATACTTGTAAATGTATGAATTTCTTTTAAGACCCCACTTCCTTTGCCAGTTTACTTTTTTCCGCGGTGGAGCATTGTCAAGGGAAAGGCAGCATGCTGGAGGCTGTGACTCAGTGGTGCAAAAATAATTAGGCTAGAAATGTCGATTCTCTGTGGGGCTGAATGTTTTCTGTGGTTCTCTCAGCAGTGGTCACCATAACAGGTTGGAGAGACCTGCTTGACACGAAGAAATAGTTGATATTCACAAGAGGTTACAGGTGGATTGTGACACCTTTGGAACATAGCCTTAGCATTAGGGAGTCAAGCTACAAAACATAAAACACAATACCATTTTGTCTGAAAAAGAAGATTCAGTATCCATGTTCCCTCTTTTGACATATTTGAATTTTTAAAGCCTCACTGGTGACAAGGTTCTACAACAACCAGGCATAGTATAATGTTAACAAGCTGGCAGTTGTAGTGTTGTAGTCAAGATCACCTAAACCAAGACCGAGTCCAGACCAAGACTAGACCACAACAGTTAAACTGTTGATAGATTGATAGTACTGGCTCACCTGTGTTTCAGTGACACTATAGAGAAGTGAAGTTACTGAATAGTTTCCCAATAGAAATTCCCCCAAATCAAAAGTGTAATTTCATTAAAATGCAACAACTTAAGATATCACACAAGAACATAAACGGGAAAAATCATTCATATAAATCCATTTTTTTCTTATATAACAATAGAAAGAACATTAGAAAAAACAATAATATTATTTCATTTTGTCAGTCACTACCACACCCAGAGCCACAGCCGTCACATGTGACAGCCAGCCCTGCAGAGAATGTGATGAGCATCCCCAAATGGGATTTTTGCTAATGTCAAAGCTAACAGCTACATAGCTTTAAAAAGAAAAAAGATGAACTGAAGCTTGGAATGGTGTAAAGTAGGCCTGTATTAGGATTATGTGATAAAATACATGCTGACAATGTGTAAGCAAGACGGGGGAAATCAGAAAAGATCCCCGACTGTGAAAAACAATATCAACCCATTGTTAGCAAAATGGAAAAACCAATTTGTGGTTAGTCAGATCAGCCAGACTGGTGACTAAAGAGCTCTGTAGGACAAGCTAAATGTACTGTATGAGCCAAACTTTCTGCTTCTACTGTCAACATAGTTTCCCTACCCACATTATTTGAAAAATTTATGAATAATCCATTAAATCTAACCCATTTATACACACACACACATACACACATGGGCACACATTATTATTCACGAAATATGGTCTGACTCTAAATGGATTCTCCATTATTGAGTTTAGATAGCACAGCCTATCACTGTCCAGACATTAGCGGCATTAGAGGGTTCCTGAGCATATAAACACACCGCGGCCAAGGCTGAGCCACAGACATACAAAAATTAGATGCCACAGAGATAAAGAAGAAAGGTTTAATTTCCTATTACGGAGACCTCAGAGAAAGACAGAGGAACAGGAAATAATTGTAGATAAAATCTAAATATAAAAAATTCAAAAAAGCTGTTTACGGTAGCAAAAAAAAAACTCTCTAGGAAGGAGAGACAGAGTACTGCACTGAAAACCTTTATTTAGTTTGGCATATTGGATCAAACACAGACTGGTTTCACCATCAGCTGGTCTTGTCACCTGATCACCTGATTTTCCTTTTATACACAAGAAATCATAATATATCACAATATTGCAAAACATCAGGGGTAGAAAGTAACTAAGCACATTTACTCAAGTACTGTACATAAGTACAGTTTTGAGATTTCTGTACTTTACTTGAGTATATTCATTTTCTGCTACTTCATACTTAGATTTCACTACATTTTTTACTTAACTACATTTATTTACATCTTCACTTACTAATTACTTTTCAGAATCCAATCAACAGAACAAAGTACAGTATAATTATATGACTTTATTAATCCTTGGTGGGAAATTCACAAGTTACCCCTCAGTATTTCAAATTATAAGCCTATAAGGTAGCTAAAATAAGCTCCACCTTTACCTATTGAAACATTAATGAAACGATGCTTATACTTTTGTATTTTTACTTAAGTACATTTTGAATGCAGGACTTTTACTCGTAACAGAGTATTTTTACACTGTGATATTGCTACTTTTATTTGAGTAAGAGGTATTGCTTCCACCACTGCAAAACATAATGAAAAATGATCATAACTACATCAAAGCATTATAATATAACAATATTACAATAAAAACATAAAAGAAATAAACCTAATGTTGCTAATCATTGCATTCAAAGTAATAATAATGTTCAGCAAAATGTCAAATCCTAGGAAAACCTAGGAAAGGTTTCACTCAGATGCCATATTTATGTTGACTTTGTCCTTCAGGCATCTGAGTATGTGTACCTAAGAGTGCTTGAAGAACATATACTGTGATTAGTTTTCATCTTCAGGAGTCCTTTAAGGCTTCTTGGATTCAGTGTAACACAATGAGTGCCAGACGTTTTCTATTAACATTAAATCAAACACTGGGGGCACGTTCATTTTACATAAGAAAGAGCAACCACATGTTGTAGGATATTATTCAAGAGAGTGGAGTGACAGCTGACTTTATTATTTCTCATTTTCTGGTGACATTTAGCTGTGCTGATTGTGTTGTTTGGGCCACTTCTGCACCAGAACATTTTGAACAGCAAGCAATGCAGACTAATATCAAAGATGTGTCTTCCTAACAAGCAGGAATCACACATGCAGCTCAGAGTCTGGCCATGCATCTACAGTGTAAATCAGAGGAGGAATCAATGTATTAAGTCATATAGGACATGAATTACTCATTATTTATTCTTCAAGCCACAGTAAACATTTAACTCCCTCCTGTGTGGGAGAGACACGCTCTGCTGATGACTGACTCATTAGACATTACCCAGATCCTTGTCAGTCATTGTAAGAATCTATTTAAATGAACAATAACTGTTCTGACAGTGTCTGATGGTGGGTTGTTTTGTGCCCACAGAATCACAAATTCTTATTGTGAAAATAAATTGGATTTAAGTCGTATTAAGCATCGATTACAGTAATATGTAAATGCTCAGTTTTCCGGATCTTCAAAGTTATCACAAACGTTTAAGTTTTTTAAAACACAGTTTTTGATTTTCTGAAATCTTTATTCAACACAGCCTACCACTCTGATTTAAACCATGCAAGTTCAACAATTTATAGAAAATCCAACAAAAAATACCATTAACATAAAATTATATGATTGTCTTGGGGGTTTTGGAATAGAGGTTTCTACATCTTATCTATCTGATATAGGGCATTAATTTCTTAATGCACTTTATTTCCATAAAACCAGGACAGTTAATAAAACAAAAATGACACACGTTCTCTACACATAGCAGCTGAGGCAATAAGGAGCGGATTTTAGTAGCCTCAGTTTCTTAAGAACTGCGGGTTCAAACTTTACCTCACGGATCATGACTAAGTTTGTATTTCCTGGAAATTTTGACTCTCTGCACAAACACCATAACACACTTCAGAGGCAAACAGAAACATCACAGTACAACCAAATGATTTGAGCTCCTGAGCACACTGAACCACAAAATAGAATGGGGGACACAAAATGTCCAAGCTGTACTATGAATTTTAAACTATTCTAGGTGTAAACTCATGTCGCCTGGGTCACTTCTACTCAGTCAAAAAATGAAACTGTTATTGTGTATTGTTGTGTTATTGGTTTTTGTCTTTTTTTTTTTTTTTACATTTCCAGGTGAATTTCTAACCAGGAAACTGACAGACAACAAAAGAAACAATGAACATCACAGTCACACCACTAGTCACAACCGCAAACTCAACCCAAGTGTGTGTCAATATTGGAAAGAGCACCACCAGTGACTTCCTGATGTCTGTTTACATCCTAGCTTTTATCTTTGGTTTGATCTTCAATGTGCTGACCTTGGGACCCATTTGGCAACAAGTGCGGCGGCAAAACATTCTGGGCATCTTCCTGCTCAGCCTGTCCCTCTCTGATATGCTTTTCCTCTTCACTATGCCTCTTTGGATCAATTACTACCAGCAAGACCACCACTGGCAGCTAGGTGTAACATCCTGCAGTGTTGCTGGCTTCTTCTACTACTCCAACATGTATATTAGCATTTACCTGCTCTGCTGTATCTCCGTGGACCGCTGCCTGGTGGTCACCTACCCACTCCACTCCAAGACCTACCGTACATCACGCTACGCCTGGGCACAGTGTGCCACTGTTTACATTGTAGCGGTGGTGCTGCACATCATGGTGCTGTACTATGACAACCTTACAGATGCTCATGATGACATAAACAACAATGACCGTTGTTATGAGACTTACCCAATGCAGAAGCCTGTTGCCTTGTTCAACATGATCAGAGTGGTTATGGGCTTCCTGCTCCCTCTGCTGGTGTTGGCGGTGTGCTATTGGAGGGTGCTGGCCACTGTGGGCCAGAGTCCCGGCCTGAGTGCCCAGGCTAAGAGAAAGGTCCGTCTACTGTCCTTTGGGGTGATTGGGATCTTCTCATTTTGCTTTGCCCCATATCACATCATCCTACTTACACGCTCGCTAGTCTTCTACCACAGCGACAACACATTTCCTGAAGGATATTACTGCCAGTTTGAACAAAAGATGCACTCCTTCTTCTCATGTATGCTGGCACTCTCCAGTCTGAACTGTGTGGTGGACCCTGTGCTGTATGTGCTGATTAGTAAGTCCAGGAGGAGGTGAAACTGTGCTGGAGGCTTCAAAGGACACAGGCAGAGGACTGTACTCTATCTTGACACAAATGAGGAAAGTCCAAGTCAAGTCAAGTCAAATGTTTTTTGTCATATGCACAGTGAAGAAATGCGTTTCCTTGTACAATGAAATTCTTACTTTGCCATCCGCATGAATGCCACACAATATAAATGAAATATAAAGTAGATACGTAGGTGACACAAAATCTAAATCACAAAATCTAAGGCACTTTAAAACAGCCAATACTAGTTAAATATGAAAAATAAGCTGTATGTGGGTGGATAAGGACATTTGTATGCATATGTCTGTGTGCCTGTGTGTGCATACATATATGTGATTATGCATAATACTGCAGCTGTTTAAACTCAAAACTTCATCCTCAGTATCAGCCAGTAAATAGCAGGATTATTTACATCCCATAATCAACCCTTCCCCCAAACCACTTTTGTACAGAAGAGAGAGATATAGGATGCAGCTCTTGTCAAAAATCCGTTGCTAGGCAATGCCCCCATTTGATTTAGGACTTTGATTTATGTCCCTGGGATGACTCACCACACCCTCCTTCCTCACCCCGCCCCCCAGATGAGTCATACTTCCCCCCAGGGGTTATGACGTCACATATTTTCGCACCTATGTTCCATGTTTTTATGGTAGAGAACTGGGTATAATATAAATTTACAAGTTGCAGGTGGCCCTAAATGGACAATATGATAGTAATAAAACTAAAGTTTCTCCTGAGAATGGAGGGACAGACTAAGGGGTTTCATACATCAAAGAGTTTTTACAGTGCCTTGTGAAAGTATTCGGCCCCCTTGAACTTTGCGACCTTTTGCCACATTTCAGGCTTCAAACATAAAGATATAAAACTGTAATTTTTTGTGAAGAATCAACAACAAGTGGGACACAATCATGAAGTGGAACGGAGGCATGGGCAAAAATTTCAGTCTCTCGATGTGCAAAACTGATAGAGACATACCCCAAGTGACTTACAGCTGTAATCGCAGCAAAAGGTGGCGCTACAACGTATTAACTTAAGGGGGTTGAATAATTTTGCACGCCCAATTTTTCAGTTTTTTTATTTGTTAAAAAAGTTTGAAATATCCAATAAATTTCGTTCCACTTCATGATTGTGTCCCACTTGTTGTTGATTCTTCACAAAAAATTACAGTTTTATATCTTTATGTTTGAAGCCTGAAATGTGGCAAAAGGTCGCAAAGTTCAAGGGGGCCGAATACTTTCGCAAGGCACTGTATATTACTAATCATGTGGCTTTAATGTACAGCCGAGCCGTGACACAGATGCTTTCTCATACAGTTTCCGGCAGTCAGCTAAGACAAGAGCACTGACTAGCCTGAGAGAGCAGAGCCACAGTGTGTCTGGGTGTGAAGCTTGTTCCTTAGGCCATGACCCATATGTTACTGTGGTCAATGTATATGAGTGTGTCTGTAATTCTCTTTTCCTTAATTATTTGTCTGACACATTAATTAATTCTCCTAACCACAGGGGAAAACAGTTGTGTCACCCCATAGTATAGTTTAAAGAAGTTCAGTCTGATAGTTTGGAATGGGTTATTGTTTTTCAGTCAGTACACGGGTGTGACACAGTGGGGCTGCTGCAGACACTGAAACACTGTTGCCTGTGAAACAAGAGCTTCAGGTATTTTAGGAAGAATTAATCCTTTTATTTAACTAATCTATTGGTGATAAACTAAACCCTGTGAATTAAAAGAGAGAGAGAATCATCGCTACATCTATCAGACTATGTGTGTAGTAATTTGGGCCTTCCTCATAAAACCCCTTTGAAGTGTCATGCCTGGTCTGTGATGATGTTTTGTTGCAAAGAAGACTTTATGGCATGCAGGTGGCCTTCTGTAATATTCCCCCCTAATAAAATCCAATAGTTCAGTTATAAAACCTATAATAAAATGTTCCATTGTAGAAAAGTAACATGGATATGCAAAACAGAAGTATGAAATTAGGGTTTGGGCTTTTGATCTAGGCGGAAGCCACGTGTCAAATGTGGGCGGGACTTAGACTCAGAAGCATGACTCATCCCAGGGTCATAAATCAATCCAGGGGCATTGCCTAGCAATGGGTTTTTGACAGGTGCTGCATGTATATCTCTCTTACAGATAATCAAATGTCAAAGAGTAATACACTGCAGCTCCTGTCAAACTGAGGTATGAAGTCAAAGATTTATAGCCTTTGATGATGTCACACTTTTAACAGCCCCCATTGCCCCCACATCCTCTTTTCCGGGGGTTTATTAGTTTAGTTTATTACTTTAGTTTTTGCATCAGCAAGAGTGTAAAACATGTGCCAAATGTCAACGTGTGGCGACCCCTAAAGGGAAAAAGCATAGAGTGACATTCATATTACTTTAGTTTTTATCGTGGCAATTAGAAGGCCACCTGGCTGCAGGGCTTTAAAAGTGTGACATAATCAAAGGCCATAAATCTTTGACGTCACGTCAGTTTGACAGTAATGGGAGTGTATTACTCTGACATCCTGTGAGAGAGCCACATTACCGACCCTTGTTTATATCCTGTACGGAGGTGCGGAGGTAGACAACATTTTCCAATTTCCACTTCTGGCTTGTGGATGGACACTGCTGAAGCTGTGTTTTCCTTCTAATCTATACAAGGAAATTGTCAGTGTAATTGTATGACCCTGGTATAGCTCAAAATGCATTACTTCTAAAGCATGCCATAACAAGCATTTATTAGCATGGCCAGGTGCTCTCAGTGACTTGCAATCATGTTGAATGTAAATCCAAATAAACCAGTGGTTTTGAAATGTGCTCTGGTTTTAGGTTGTTTAGTTTATGCAGAAAAAAATGTGACAATCAATTTTGCACTTAATATTTTATACATTCCTTCAGGAAGGGAAGGGCTCAGTAATGATTAGTCCATAAAACTAAGCACTTAAAGTTAATTCTAAATCCAGCAGAGCTGTGTACTAAAAATGACGTTTTTGTGTGTGCGTGTGTGTGTGTGTGTGTATGTGTGTGTGTGTTAGAGAGAACGACAGTGTTGTTCTTATTTGATGCTGTGCTAAAAATGTTTTTTTGACAAAGCTCACTCATATTTATTACAAATGGTGATATTCTGGAATGGCTGTAATTCAGATCTACAATGGACAGGCAGGCACACAGCGAAAGAATAGAAGAAAAAAACACAGGAATGGAGGAAGTGAATCGACAACATTAGCGCGGTCACTGCATGCTTTTATGTTTTGTCCATTATTCATACAGCTGTCTGCTCATGAATCAATGGAACTCTTTGCAGAGCACATTGACACATTATCAGCTGAACAGCTGTGAGCCTGTAGGTTGGCTGAGACCTGTGCAGCACATTGCACTTCTCTTTCTTTAAAAGCCTGACTGCTGTCTTGTTGGTCTGTATATGTACACAGTAACTAACTGTGAAAATGATACTCATACTTTGCCTAATATAGTTCAGTGGAAATGTAAATGTTAAAAGGATTATGTTCTCTGCCAGTGTTTTTTCCATTCCATGATGAGTGGAGATTGTAGGAAAACAAATGAAATACGTTATCATTGGAGTTTTAGCTTTGTTTTGTGACTTAGCTGATAATTTACTTAGAATGTTCCCTTGTTATCTTGATGTAAACATAATCTTGATACCATTACTTTCCTTCAAAACAAACAAAAAAATATACCGTATATATATAACAAAGTAGCTGTCAGGGTTGCCATTGTTACTCAGTGCCAAATATTACAATACACCTATTGTCTGTGTAGTCAACACTTTTTCTGTCATTGTTTTTATTTCTATTCATTCTATTCTACTGCATTTCTATTTTTGTCCAAAAGGTATTACACAGTCATGAGTGAGCCACACTGTGGCACTGAGTACAGCTACTCACTAGGATTAGGACCTTTTTGAGTAATATTTGCCAAACTGTTGTTTAAAACAATGACCTTAAAACAATTTATGCTTTCAGCATATACAGTTTAAGGAAGTACTGAGAAATGAACCAGTGTATTGTTGGTTTTGATCCTTCTTGACAAATAGAAAAACAAGGCCAGCCTTTTAAGACAAGCCATGGTTATTGAGCCTCATCCGTCACATGAATTTCTTGGTCTTCATCAGGTTAGCAGATAGCTCTACTTAGAAGAGAGAGACAGATGGGGAAGATGTGCCTTTACATGAATTCTTAAAAAGATACCAAAAGATGTCCTTTTCTCACACCATTATTTCAGCTCAAGACTCTTGCCAGTCAAAGCTCAAGGCAATTTGAAGACAAGCTCTGAAAAGTGATTTGACTCCATATTTGCAAATGTTAAAATATAAAAAAACGGCTTAGTTCATCATCGTGTGGCATTAGGCCAAAGATATTACATATCCATTTTCTATAGACTCAGTTTTTATTAAGCTATCTCAGACAGTAGCCAGACTCCTTGAGAAATCAGCATGGCTTCACTGATTAGCTGTTCTGACTCATAGACTCATAATGCATTTTAGGTCTAAAGGGACTGTATAGACTAAGCTATTTTTAACCAGAATGTTGTTGTTTGTGGCCTTATTTCCTGTTTTGTATTTTTATTTTGTTATGACTCCCCTGCCTCAGCTTTACAACTGGTCTTGAAGGCTTCAAGATGGCTCAGGTCGGTTTACACCAAATGCCTTAAGGCGAAACCAGTCACAGTGAGAAATGTTAATACTTGGACTGACTGTGCTCAGGCTAGTCTGCAGGGCTATCTAGAGGCCACAGACTGGAACATCTTCAAGGGGGCCACAGACAATATAACCATGAATATGCAAAGACTGTGAGCAATTATGTCAGCTGGTGCACGTCCATATGTGCCCCACCCAGAACTGTGCATGTCTTCCCCAACCAAAAACCCTGTTTTAATGTGGACATAAAACAAAAAAATCAGGAAGAGGTGGGAAGCTTTCAAGGCAGGGGACCAGGGGGAGTTCAGGAGAGCCCGGTACAAGCTACAGGCTACAGAAGTCCATCAGAGCTACAAAGAGGGCATACTACCAAAAACTGGAGAGC